GAGCAATATGGCAAAACTGGCTGGGAGCTCAGTGGACTTGGGTATGATTTTTAAATGAGCACTGTAGTGAAATAGCGCTAACCGAAACTGCGTTAAGTGGGGGTTGCTGGTACTGCCTCTCTGTTGAGCCTGGGACTGCAGCAGAGAAACAAGACCTACCCTATTTGCTCCCTCTCAGCACTTGCCCAAACTCAGTAGTTAAGGTAGAGTAGATGGCTCAAAGAGGCCTTCAGTCCATTCCCTGTCTCAGGCATCTGAGAGCAGTACTAGAGCACCCAGGCAGGACCCCATCTTGTCACAGAATCACAGGGTGGGAAAGGACCTCAAGGGTCACCTGGTCCATCCCCTGGAGGAATGCTATTCCTAATCCCTCCTCCCCACTATTTTGCTGGGCTTGAGCACAAGCAAAGGGGGAAATGAATGGGTGAGCCTTATTTCTTGGTAGCTAGGATGGGCGCAGCCAGGAGGTAATATAAACATGCCTTAAGGCATATTCCTAGATGCAGTCCTATGGAAGTCATGGATCTTGCATATCTTCTGCTGACTGATGTGCAGAATTGAGAATAAAACATACCCAATACACAGCTGATCCTCCTCACCATGTGCAGCTTCACTAATCAGTTGGCATTTATTTAATAATCAATACCTGTCTCACTAATTGCAAAGAAATGAATATAGTAAGATAGTTAAAGAAATGCCAATTGATCATTCAAAACATTACTCTGAAGGATTTAATACATTTACCATTGCTGTATGGTCATTAATACCCAATTAATGTTTTTCACAGTCAAGTATTTATTTAAAATAATTACGTGCCTTACAGCTAAATTAAATGTGCACTTGAAAATCTCATGGTGCAACATTACCATAAGTTCTCTCAATTGATTCCCAGTGGGTTGGTACCACATCAAGGACCTTTCTGAAACTGAATGACAGTAGCTAATTTTCACAGCAACCACTGCTTGGATCCCTGCTGGCTCCTGTTGTGAAGCTAGAGACTCAAAATATGTGACAGCGAAACTGCCAGATCTGGCTACAGGAGCTTTGTGCTTTAGCACGGCCAAGGATCCTGTTAGCTGTAAACATGTTCAGCTCCATCCAGAAGTGGGTGTTCTGCTTTAAAATACCTGGTTAAAATCTTATTGTCTTGACTGGCAACATAGTCAGGTAGAATCTAAATCTGTGTTCAAGCGGTATCAAAAATTAGTTGGTCATCTCTTCCCCTTGGCCAGTAAATCTAGTTGTCACTTGTTTCCTATGTGGAAAAGCAAATGATATAGGTTGAAATGTGCACTGCCTGCTGGCTGCAGGGAAACAGTCTATCATACTGTCATTTGCAGAACTGCTAAATTTCTCTTGTGAGGCTTTGCCAATTACCACCATTATGCAAATGAGCACACACATTATTTCAAATGCTCTGCTTCAATGTTGATTAATTAAATTATCAGACTGGAACAATTTTTAGCAAAGATGATGCCAAATTTCAGATCTCACAGCTGTAATAACATCATTTTGCAATTCTGTTTCCTGAGTTTCTGAATATAGAGAAACAAGCCTCACTGTGGCCTTGAAAAATCAGAGAGGTATTATTTTCCCCATTTTACAGATGAGGAAACTAAGTTACAGAAATGTGCCATAATTTGTGTAGGTTGGCACTAACAGTCCGTGGCACTTAAAGTACTCCTGACTTCTAGTCCTGTACCTTAAGTACAAGGCCTTCCTTTTAAAAACCAAGTAGAATCTCACTAATGTCCAATTGCTAATTAATAAATATTTCATATTAGCAAGCGAGGTTTTATTGTGTTTGATACCTCCCTCCAATCCCAGTAATCATATATTGGTACAGCTAATTTCTTT